TTCCAAATGGCACTAAAGATATTACAGGAAGTCAAAGAATACACGAACCTAACTGGAATACATTTCTGACAGGACTGTGCCATGGCTACAGGGCTGACTGTGTCCCTCTTCTCAGTTGTATTCCCACTGAAGTCTCTCCTCTTGGACATTAGTAGCAATGACCAACTTAGCAACAGAATGGGTCCTAAAATTCACTGTTAAGAGTTACTGCAACAGCTCACAAACATATTTTACAACTTATTTACTCAGTGTTTGCAAAGGACTTTGAGTGCGGCAGTGTAGGAGGCATTACATAATGGATGTGTGGTTTTGCAGGCTGAGCTTTTATATTCCAGTGGCAGAACGGGGCAGTACATGCCTCACTCTGTGTCTTTTGAGCAAGTGTTTGGAACACATTCCTTTCCTGTGCTGTTGCTCTTTTACATTGATTCACAATGGTAAGCCATTACTGATTCAAATTCAGTCCCCAACAGCATCTGTAGCATTTCAGTAAGGTTTAATCTGTCCCCAAATACCTCTGTTCCTATTGCAACTAGCTGGATGAAGACAAATTAACTTTTGAAGAAGTGTAAACTGGATTGCTTTAGACTGACCTGGATTTTTTCATTTTGTGAACACTCTCTTTGTGGGAAAGTGTGATGAGCTTGACTAAGTGACAAGCAGCCAAAGTCTATTCTCATTTACACCAGCACAAACCTAGATTATGCTCCACCTCTGTAAAGGGACATGGGGCCCTCAGGGACACGGGAGCCCCAGTTTCCCTTTGGGAGCGAACGGACACCATTCAACACATTCAACGCTACATCTGACATGCTAACTTTGTATTATCACTTCTATAATTCTCTCTGAGAGACTCCAATAAGATCTAATACTCTCATAAAGATCCAAATCATATTAAACAGGTGCAATCACTTAATGGGGAATGAGTTCCTCAGGAAGTGCTAAAGACCATTTATATTCAGAAACATGCAAACAAATGGCATTTTTCTTTCAAAATGTTGAATGAAATTTCTCAAGAGTGATTGACACAACGTGCTGTTTTATCAGTAATTCAGAAAGATTCATTTGATAAGATGCATTCTCATAGTCTGTGGTCAAATGTAGAACATGCACAAGAGCACAATTAACTAACTAAAGATTCAGTGAAATGTTTCATTTCTAGCGCACATCCCAGCATGTTATCATCCTTGTCACAACTCGCTGTAGGCAGTCCTTCTCACTGTATTGTTTGTGTCCCAACTGTAGGCTATTAGACGTCCTTCGTTGTATTTACCATTTTAATAAGCCTTTAAGACTTTCCTTTTGAAAATGAGCAGTTACTGAAGCTGTAGAGAAAGGCAGGTTTAAGGAAAGAGCTTGCTGTTCAGTACAGACTCGCTTTTCCTTATACCTGATTCTTACTACTTCTGAATGACAGGAGAGGACCGAGCTGCCTGGGTCCTCAGCTCACAGCTCAACAGGCAGGACTATCCTGCCTGCTGCAGGAGAAAAATCTTTAAAACAAATGGCTAAGCAGCCCCATGTGCTGTGAAATCCACTGCAAAGGCCCTCAGCAGGTCTTCAGTTGCTTTCAGACGCGCTTGGCGTGCCATCTAGTGACAGGCACATCTTCCATTCCCCACCTACCCCTCTTCTTGTCCCTTCCCTACACCCACTAAATGAACAAAACATGCACATGAAACAGGAACAAGAAAACTGAAATGCCTACAGAAACCCCCCTAACAAGCCCTGCATCTACTCATCTTTTCTTTTTCACTTATTCCCACTATGGCCCTTCTCATACTCACTACCCTCCCACCCAAGCACAGATCTTGCAGCTCTTCTAGAGACACTTGTATTGCTGGAGCATTCTTTCACTGGCTCGGTGAGTTATAAATCACTGGCCTCAACAGAGGTCTGGACAAAAGGAGCAAGGTAACAACAAAGGGAGAGGTAGTTGGTTCCACCTGAGCTTTCCCAAGGCACAAGCATGGCTCAGCGCTATGGAACAGCCCAGCTCCAGCAAATCCAGGGGAAGGAGGATGACACCACAGCAAGTGAATCCTCAAAGGCACTGAGCCTCAGGCTGGTTCCTGCTCTCTTCCTCCAAGGACAGGAACACAATTGGGAAAAACAGTACCCTGTGTGGCTCCAGGTTTACCCCCCTCAAGCATTACACTGCAAACCCCTCCTTCACATCCCCAACTGCCCGCTTCCTCCTACCCCATACAAAGCCCACAGATTAGTACACAGGTGCATCATCAGGGATGGGGATCAATTAAACCCTGGATTTTCCAGTCTGTTTTGCAAAGAAATGTTGCCTTATGGACGAGCTAATGAAATTCTTAGCTTCTGGTCTGAAAGATGCATCAGATACGTGGGGTAATACAGGGATACTTCTGCGTTAAGTGAGTATCATAAGACATAAACAAGCAGAAAAAATGGAGGCTGAAGGCCAAACTCACATTTGGTGACTCAAAGGGAAATACAATAGGATTTACAAACTGTTCCCTTAAATCTTGCCTGCAGTGCCTTCCTTTGACTTCTTTCAGAACTGTGAAAGACAACTCACATCGTACAGAATTAAAGACAACTTCAAAACTATGAGCATAATCCACATTCCTAAAGCTTTCCTTGAAGGAAGTGCGTGCCTGCCCCAAAGAATGGCATGAAATGACTCTGCTGGCATTATCACAGAGGTAATAATTTGAATCTTCCAGCACTAAGCAGATACACTTACCATTAGAAGCATACTTGAATGCCCAAAAATCTGCTAGCTGTATTAGAGAAACAAGGAAATATTGTAATTCCTGCATTCAACAGTTTTTAATCTCAGGATTTGCCAAGATAAGGAACACTCTCAGAATTAATATGAATCTGGGAAAGCAGAAATTCAAAGTGCTGTAGCTATCCCAAATTTGTTCCCCCTCTTGTTTCTTTCTATAACATGGGTGCTTGAACGTGATGCTCACAGGAAGAGTAAGAGTCTATATAGGAGCTAATGCAGAATAACTGCTATTCCACAATGACTGTTCCAGGGTCTTCCCTGTTGAGACAAGGCTTAAAGTCTTAGACCTGAAACTGATGCAGATAACCATTCCCTATTGAGAAATATCACAGGAGACTAACCCTGCTTGGATTCAAGACTCACGTACTTGTGTAGGAAAAGGTGCCCTCTCAGGGTGTGAACACAGTAAGAGAGATCAGAAAATAGGCACCAGGGAAAAAAAAGAGGACAGTAAAAGACGACAGTAATGAGAGAAGAGGTTTATTAATTGAAGCCCCAATTACAAATATAGGCCTATGCAATGAGAAAACCCAGGAGCTTTGATGAGATGTGCATGCTAGAAGGCTTTGCCAGCTCAGGACTGAGTATATTGAGCACATCTTGGCAGGCCTGTTCCATGTGTGGTTAAATCCTTCCAGCTAAGTCTGGAGGAGGCCAGAAATACACTTTTTATATAACAGAAGTAGTATGAAAAGTCAGGTGGTTACTTCTACTTTTTCCTTTTCATCCTTTAAGTACCATCCTTCTTTACATACACCGCTAGTTTTGCTTCTAGTCCCTATAGGCTGAGGACTCTTCAAGTTTAAAATGAAACTAGTTAACACTTAAAATATTTTCAGGTTCTTAAGACCCTGGGGTTAATACAGCCCCTTAACTTATTGAATAAATAAAAAAATGTAACAATCAATCATACCTTCTGAAAAAAGCTTAACAGCTTATAATTTACCTGAGTGCGCTGCAGGGAGAGTACCTGACCAGGGCAGCTTTTACAGCATGATAAGATCTCCTATCAGTTTTTAGTATCAAAGAGAAATTGAGTCCATGTTTTGCATGCTGAATAAGAAGGTGACTGTAACTGGGATTCTACGTTATTTCCACAGCTGCCTGTTTCTCTATTCCTAAATGAATCAAGACTGCATGGTTTTGAAAACCAGGGTGTAATGGTTCTTAAGAGGAAACTGTACATATAAAAAAATCAAGAGAGTTTGACTGTTTATTACATTCATTTACTCCTATGGTTAAATCAGTTCGGTTTTAAGACTTTGATTTCCCATTATACTTTTGATGGATGATGGAACTATAAATACAAACCAGGTGAAATTCATTGGTGATGTGACAAGGTGCTGAGAGTGGTCATGTAATAGTGAGCCCACAAAGACCAGATCGCAGGAATGAGACCAAAATTTAGAATGGCTACTAAAACCAGCCATGAAATGAATGAAGGATGAATCCTTTATCCCACTTGGGACCATCCAATATCCTTTATCTGGGATTTGAAGTCCCTAGGAGTTGGGCATCTAGTTATAATACATGCCTTGGAAAACAGCTCCCCCCCGCCCGATCCCTGTTGAAAATATTTTAAAGGACTTAACTTCAAGGATAAAAGTGCAGGACATTAACAGTGAAAATCCACCTTTAATGGATAGGACTGAAGCATAAATAGCATCGTCACATAAGAAGATCTCTGCCTCCAAATGCCTGTAATTCTAACAGATGAAGCAGAAGCATGGTCACACACTATTATTTCCTCCGTACACTACGGAATGTGGGACAGCACAGATTTCTGCCAGTTGAGACTAAACAGAAACTAGCATCAGAAAGGGAATATTGAAGAGCTTCTGTCATTGATTTACACAACTATCTGTCAGGCGGCAAGGGCAAGCGGTAGTGGGATTCCTGAACTCTATTTGTGGTTCTGTAAGTAGCATATCATCTAGTGCTATGGTTTACAGTTTTGGAACACTTTCTTTTGAGTGACTTGGCAGGCTAAGAAAGGGAGCATCAGGCTTGTCGTTGTTAGCAGCGCTGGTCCTCTTCCCAGCATACTCACTAATAAGGATACAAAGCACAAAACCACCAGCAGCTAGCAGAAGGGGTAAGTGTTATGCGAAATGTCCCGAAGCAGCGGGAGGCCAGAGAGGGGGCCAGTCTCCCCGCCCCAAGCGCGGCAACGCCGTCCCGCTTCTGGGAGGATTCTGTCACCACGATCTCGTACCACCTCTCTCATACACACCTGCGCGCCTCGGGACGCTCCAGCGGGCCCCGCCGTGAGGGCCTGTTCCAGGGTGGCTGAAAACAGGGGAGCGGCCACCGCGCTTCCCTTAGAGGAGGCCCAGGCCCAGGCCTAGGCCTAGGCCTAGGCCCAGGCCGCCGCCGCCGCCACAGCCTCCTCCTCCTCCGCCCCGCCCCCGGCCC